AATTATAATAATACGCCTGCCTTAGTAACCCTGTGATTGGATCTGCTCAGAGCCTATTCTGACCCATGCCTGGAGGGAGAAACATTCCTAAAAAAATTTCAGAATAACCAACCACGGAAGGCGATGAAATTAGTGAAATTATCCGGTAGGCTCTCACATGGAAGAAATTACCTAAGCGAGGAGGCAATGCGGAACGCGTGAATACTCACGCACCTGTGTAATTGACCCGCAGCAATGTGCATCTATCGCTGATTTCTACTGTCAGCGAAATGTGTCAATCACAAACCCTAGATTATATGATTTAAAAAAAACTGCACACTTCTGTTAGTTTACGACAGATAACGGCTTCCTAAAGGCAGTCTGACCATGCCTGCGTTTTTTCAAGCGCACTAGTCTCACACGCACTTTTTGCCAAAGGAGGTCATTCTCGTGTTTACGATGTCTTGCAATACAGATGGAGCACACTGTATGCTAAGCTGAGCTCACTACTATACCTACATATAGCAAGCTACGTGATTTATCATGTCAGGGGTTTAAAAATTGTCTGATTACTGCTGGGAATGTCCGCATTCCCAAAAAGAGTCATTCGATCTCACTGGGGAGCACGTGTGTGTGTCCCGCCCTACGTTGTTTCTGCGTGGGGCATGCACCTTCTCGACAGCATCTAGCCACTGACCGCGACCGCAGTGTGTGTTCCTGGAATTTGATTGGCTCGTGTCTATGAGGAGCCGTACAGGCACTGCTGCATCTCGTCTCTAGGCTATGGGAGGCCATCCTGATGTTTGTAAAATATTTCAATCGACAGAGATCACACTTTATGGTCTGCGTGCAGAATAACTTTGCTTTGCACATGACCTCACGTAAGGTGCGGCTGACCTGTTATGTGATGTTGCTTTTCGTGGCATTCTCAATGGCTACATTGCCGCGGGTAGACCATGTAAAGTACATGCCGAAAATGGTTTGGTGAACGCAGTCAGGCCCTGTGCGCCATCATTCACGTAACGGCCAAGACGTGGACTTGATTTCCCCCCATTAGTTCCGTCTCACGGGGACCGCTGGTCCCCTATAGTGGCAGCCCCTACCAGTCGCAGAGAAGGAGACATGATTGCTGGAGTAAGAGCTTTATTAGCCTGACGTTTCGGATTCTCACTCGGATCGATCACCAAAGGCAGAGTCAGATAAGGGTGGTAAAGCGTCCAGGTGTTGCAGTATTCCTAGGATGTAGTTCCTAGACGACTACAAGCCAGTCCAGTTGGCAGCTCCCGAGTACATCACGGCTCGACTGGCCAGGTGGTGAAGTATGCAGATGCCGTGCAGTTGTCACGCTCATCGCAATCAGTCGAGTTGCTGACCCCTGATTTTGTCATTCGTGTGGACTCTTGGATAACTACTGTACTTCAATGAACCTGGTAGACGTGGAAAAAGCCTTTCAATTGTGATTTTGAAAATCTGAAGTCGTGACACCAATCGAAATAAAATCACCACTGCTGCTGCCTCAACCTACTTTGGCAACGTGTTGCACTGCAAGCGCACCATATCTGTCAACCGACTGGTTTGACTCCTGGTGGTTTTGCGCGTCTGAAATGCTGAGTTGTTCTCGCTGCACCACTGCGGAAGTAGTTTTATTTCGGCAGGTTTGTGCGCGCTTAAATATGACGATACGGGCGCAACCTGTAGTACTCCCTCAGATACCTTCAGCAACTCAACAAAGAAACCTGCAGAGTCTACACAGGTCTGGCGCATTTCAGTAAAGACTGCGGGTAGCAATATCTTAAAGTTGAGCATTGTTCTCGAACGAAGCTGTTACCCATAACATTGACCCTAGTAAAAAGTGCCCCATGAAAGAACTCACCCGCTCAATAGAAATACCCCCACGTAAACCCAAGCGCATGCTAGTCACATGTCACACATTGATGTCGCCTCATTTGCCCACGTAGTACAACGCAGGCAGATTCGTTCTGACCGTAGACCGATTGAGAGAGAGAGATAGAGAGTGCTCGAATGTGCCACCTGACATTGTGTGAATTTTATACGTTGTTTTCGCAACGAATCCTCGTAGGCTAAGTAGAAAAATGGGACGATACGGGCGCAACCTGAAGACCTCTCTCAGGTACCCGCAAGTTGACAAAGATACCTGCAGAGAGCAGGCACAAAGGACCGGAAATCCTGACGAAATACTGCAAAAACTGCGGGCATCAGTGTTAGGGGTCAAGGCGAAGCGTCGAGCGCGCAAGACGACAACGCCAGGACCCAAATCTACAATTCCCAAACCCCGTCAAAGTGAGCGAACCGTCAACTGGCCTCCAGTGTGTGACAAACTGTATTTGGAGGAAGCTATGTGAAGGAAGAACCTCGACTTCAAAAAATACTGCGTACCAAATCCACCTCCACGCATGCAGACCTTAGGGGGGACTCGTCTTTGAAGCTAAGGCTCCAGCTAGTGCTGATTAAGCTGGTTGCAGCGGTTGTAACTGATGTCTTAGGGCCCACGAAAGCTACTGAGACAAAATATAGTCATCCGTCATCTTTCTCCTCACCTTCTTCCCACTTAAACCTAGGCATTTTCGCAAAAAAATTGTGCGAAAAACGGGATCTACCGCATACTAGTTACAGTCGGGAAAGAACATGGTCTCCAGCGGGAACGTGCAGCCCCCGATGCGACAGCTTGACGGTCGGCATATCCAGGATGTTAGAAATCAATGCGCGCACTCTAGAGCCTCATTAACCGGAATAATATCCTAGGTCATCAATAGTCGTGAAAATGCGATTCCCAGATGGCATATCAAAAGAAAATGAGGCATTCACAGGGAGGGATGATTGGAGGTCTGACTTTTCGAGCAGTCGTTTCGTCTAGCCATCTTCGGAGACTGGGAAGTCATGCACACAGCTCTCCTTATATGGTGCACTTTGTTTGATGCCTGGTCCGCCAATGCCGCCTGTGTGGCTGCATCCGATCCACATTTTTACCGTGCACTTAGCAGAGCGATTACTTGACAAAATAAGGGCGGTCACGATCGAACCGACTGAGAGGATGTTGTCATTTGACGTCGTCTCACTCTTCACGTCCATACCAAAGGCACTTGCGGTCGAGAAGCTCAGTGACTTGTTACGTCAAAATTACGATGAGGGCGATGACCAGCCCACAGTTCAAGATCTCATAGAACTCATGAGGCACTGCCTCAAGGCACTTTTTACCTTCGAGGGGACCACATCTGAGCAAGTTAAGGGCACTCCGATAGGTTCACCAATTTCCGGGCTCATCGCCGAGGCGGTTCTGCAAAAACTCGCGAAAAGACTGTTCGAGGAATACAAACCCAAGTTTTGGGCGCGCTACGCTGACGATACCTTCGTAATCATCGATCAGAATAAAAGTAACTACTGTGAAGAGCTGCTGAACCCAATCAGGTTGGATACCAGTCTCGCAACACTCCGTTACTGATGCTAGTATTATTGCAGTTAGTTACCCACACTGTAAGCGTTGGTAGAGTAGCATTGGCAGCCGTGGTGGCAGTGGTAGTAGTAGTAGTACTAATAGTAGGATTATTAGTAGTATTCGCCGTATCAGTGGTGGTAGACGGGGGAAAAAGTTTTCTTCAGTGTTGCGACACTGTATTCCCACCCCCAATCATTTTCGATCTATAGTTCAGGAGGGAAGAGGAAGTGGAGGACAAGCTTCCATTCTTGGATGTTTTCCTCTACCGACAACCAGACTGCAAACTGGCGACGTCAGTCTACAGAAAACCGACGAATACGCTGCAAACGCTCAGTTACAACATCCACCCACCGCAACACAAACGAAGCTGTGTACGCACGCTATGCCGACGGGTGGAAACTCATCACACGCCAGCCGCCAAACTGGACGAGATGAATCTTCTCAAAGAAGTCTTCAGAGCCAACGGCTATCCGCGAAAATCTGTTAAACGGGGCCGAAGGCAACCAAGGGAGCGGAATGAAGAACATAGTCAGCCAAAATCACGGTGGAGCATTCAGTACATGAAAGGGGTCTCCGAAGCCGTGGCTAGATCCCTCGCGCCGCTCAGAATAGGCGTTGCCCAGGGGCCCGACTCAGCAATCCACCGGCAGGTGATGCGGCCTAAAGGCCCGATCCCTAGACAGGGGATGGCGGCCGTTGTCCACCGACTTGAGTGCAGCTGAGGGATGTGCAACTACGTTGGGGAAGCCGGCCGACGGCTGCAAAGGCGAATGCACGCGCATAAGTTGGCCGTGCGAAGGTTGGGCCCAAAGTCCGGGGTAGCAACCCATGCCGCGCAAATGGTACACATCTTCAACTTTCACGCTGTTGAGATTGTGGGCCGAGGTGATGATCATACGACAAGGCAAGTACAAGAAGCCTGGCTGTCTACCGACTGTTCAGTCAACCGCCACATCAATTCGCCTTCCCCCTATCTGGCTTTACGGACATTCTTGACGGGGACAGTCACAGCGCAGGACAATCGGGGCCGTCAACTAGCGCCGCGGCCGACGAAGATGAGTGGAATTCGGGTCATGGTGACATGCAGGTCGGATGCAGCCACGCAGGCGGCATTGGCCGGCCAGGCATCAAACAAAGTGCACCATATAAGGAGAGCTGTGTGCACGACTTCCCAGTCTCTGAAGGTGGGTAGATAAAACGACTACTCGAAACGTCAGACCTCCAATACACCTCTCCCTGTAAATGCCTCCTTTTCATTTAATACCGTAACTATCTGACAAACCATCACAGGAATCCCCAGCGCAAACAACTCAAGTCTCGGATATACCCAGAGACGCCGTAGTGGAAGAACCCTACAGTTGTCTGCCCAGACAGCTCGAGCCAGGTCCCGTGATGATTCCTTCCGCCAACTTCGGAGGATGACGGCAAATTCGGCCAGAGGTGACCAGAAGCAATATTGGCCTGAAATAGCAACCTCCATGGAACAGGCCTCGAACGTTGGTGACGCTCAGAAACTCTACCAACTTATCCGCAAAGTCAGTAGTAAGCCCTGTGCACTCTCTTCGCGATGGGCTTCATTGCTGGCAACTCGGCCAAAGTCAAGCGTTGGGATGAGCCCCATCTCAACTTCGATACCCAACCTACCTCTTCTTTTTTCTTCTTTGCAACGGAGTTTCATCTCGCTCCAACCTATGCAGTGCCATGCGGCCCATCTTCAGAAGAGGTCGCCTATGCCATACGAAAGCTGCGCAACAACAAGGCACCCGGAGAGGGCGGTATACGCATTGAAGTCTACAAGTCTTGTGCCGACACTCAGGCTCCATGAGGTGACTGAACAAGCGTGAAGAAGCGAGGTTGCTCCTGATGACTGGGGCTTCGGCATCCTTGTACCTATCCTCAAGAAGGGAGATAAGACGAGATGCGAGAACTACCGTGACATAAGCCTCATCGACGTTGCTGCGAGGATCTTGGCAATCGTCCTACTCAGACGATTCCAGACTGTGCGTGACTCCATGACTAGGCCCAACCAAGCCGGATTTCGTGCTGGACGTGGATGCGCGAGCCAGATATTTACACTAAGGCGGCACATTCTCGAATTCCGCAATGTCTACCAGAAACCGACGGCCATTTGCTTCGTTGACTTTGTCGCCGCGTTCGATTCCGTCCATCGTGAGTCCCTATGGCGGATAATGGCGGTAGATGGTGTGCCGCCAAATATTATCGCCATGACCAAGGCTCCACCACCGCGCGAGTCCTGGTCCGCAGCAATTTTTCCCAGCTGTTTGATATTCGGTCTGGCGTTCGACAGGGTTGTATCCTGTAGCCCATTTTAACTACGCTACTAACTGGATTATCGGGAGGGCCCTAGAAGAAGGTGACGACGTTGAATTTGCGCCCGGACACCGAGGGACTGACCTCGACTATGCCGAGGACATCACCTCACTTGCTTCAAGTTTTGGTGATCTGCAGTTTATGGTGTCACAGGTGAACGAGGTCGCCAAATCAGTCGGTTTATCCATAAAAGCTGGGAAGACTAGTTTTCAGGCTGCATCCCTGACCAGGAAAAGGCATCTCCCCCGGATTGGTGGCTGTCAACTTGAAGTAGACAGTTTTAAATGCCTCGGAGCGAAGCTGCTGCCGAATGGGCAAAGTAAGGCTGACATTGTCTCCCACATTGAAACTGCTCGACGGGCTTTCTCAAGCCTTAGAAAATGCCTGTAGATCCCGCGCGACCTTTCCATCGCCACTAAGATTCGCATGTACCGTGCGTCTGTCCTTTATGGTTGTGAGTGCTGGAATGTGCGCATAGAAGACGAGCGAAAACTGGAGGTATTTGACCACCATTGCCTGAGGACCATCCTTCGAGTGATGTACACCGACTTCGTCTCAAATGAGACAGTCCGCGCTCGCCGCGACATCGCATGAATAATTCAGGCCACCCAAGAAGGGCGAATGAGGTGGTTTGGGCATGTTTTTCGTCGTTCACCTCAGGAGGTCAGTGTTACTGCGCTCGATCCGGCACCGTTACTCCATTGGAGGCGTCTAAGTGGAGGGGATCAACTCAAAACTTGGCTCGGCACACTTCGTCAAGGAGGTGGTTCTTGGATCTTCGGCACTCGGTTTCCGTCGCTGGCGAAGTGAATGGGTTGGACTGTTCAGATCTGCTGTCGCGGAATATCACACGTGAAGAGGTACAGTTCGGGACATCAATGAGACCGACTAGATGAGGCATGATCGCTGCCGTACCAAGTAGTAGGCATACAAGGCGCAGTCGAGTACCGCTGTAAGCGCACCTGTCGCATTTAACAGATGATTTGGCATTTATCAACCTCCCGGAAGCGACTCAAGATCCCCCCCGCAAAATTCGCCGATGGGTATTCTTTGGTCCCGGCCCGGGAACCAGTTAATTGCCTAAAACAGTATTTTTTGCTTGCTTGTTCGTGCTAGTTAATGACGTAGTCTACTAACTGGACTGAGACACCCTTTAAGGAAATAATGTCCCGGCACCAGCTGCCGATCTCGACAATCAGGAATGTGCACATTCCACCGGTTGTACTACTAAATTTACAAATATCTTAGCTATGGACTCCATTTTGGAATGGGCGTTTGTTCATCCATTGACAGGCATTCAGCAGTCTCTTCTAGGACGACTGAAACTGTCTGTCGGGAAAGACTGTTAGAGGCATGACCAAGTAGCTAACGTTCAGTTCTAACGCTGGTTACGAATGAGTGTGAAAGCTCGCCCCCACGGGTCCCCACAAGATTTGGATAAGCAGCCAAAGGGAGTCTCACTTGGTACATTCACTCGCGTCCCGCTCTAGGGCAGTTGGAACCGTCCTCGTACTCTAAAGGCCTTAAAAGTCCATCGGGAAAGCAGGGCTCGACTTTGCCACAGTAAAGAGTTAAGCCGATCTAGAGCAGCGGGGCAGGCAATCACACATGTCTCGCCGAGTTAGCATCATAAATGCAAACAGTAGAGAGTGCAGAGGACCTCTTCGGACGTGCGCTCTCAAACACACTTGTCACAATGCGATCGGTGACGGCAACGAGAGCCCATGTTGCAGAACGACATATATTCGGAGTGAGCACAATAACTGGACCGAAAAACAAGGCCCAACCGGTGACAGCAGTCCTCCTGGTTGTAGCAGCCATCAGCCCAGATGTTTCCCATTAAAAGGGAATGCAGGCGTTTGGTATTACATGTACAGGCGGACTATAGGTCCAGCAACTCGTGCGAAGATGAATGCCACCCCCTCCCCCCAATACCTATGTTGTGCCTTCAACTGCACCCCTTAAACCTAAAAGGCAGAAGCACGCACAGAACACCCCTAGCTACAGTTACAGCTGACAGTTATCGGTTTGTAAGTGGTGGTGAACGACCGAAGGTGCCGACAGGACTTTGTGGCCAGCCGAGGCGGATCTTAACAAACAACTTGCTGACGAGGAACAGGAGACTTGCATACTTGCCGCAGCTAATTAGCACATTGGTGACCATAGTGCCCTTGACGCCTACTCAAATCCCGGTGAAAAAAAAACTAAAGGCCCGAGAATTGGAAGAAAAACAAGACTAGTTGAAATTCATCTTTGGAATAAGGCAAAGACTTATTCAGTCAATTTTTTCAAGAGTTCCTTAATCTTCTCTTCATTAGCGCCAACGACTTTGTCTAAGACTGTGCCATTTTTAAATCCTATGATGGTGGGCATCGCCGTGATTTCGTAAGATTGAGCCAGTTCCTAAAACACAAAGGACCCCTGTTAGACGACAAGGACGCATGTAGGACATGATCAGGAAGGCAAAATCGCCATAAAAATTTGCTACGAACAATTCGAAGACAAATCTAGCCTGGCCTGAGGTCACTGACATTCTGTGGAGGACAAAGAGAATTAACAGGAGCAAATTGTGGCTCATTTATGACTGAAATGAAACGGGACGAAGGCCTCCATTTGTTAATCACTACCTCAATAGTGAGGCACCAGCAGGGCACCTACTCGTTGTCGTGCCCTTTAGGTAATGTACATCGGCATTCGGCCTGACATGAATAAAGGACAAATAGCAGTATCCGAAACTCCCATATAGGAAAACAACTGTTTAACTTGTAGGTACCTCACACTCATCCACATCCACCTTCAGAAACACAACATCCTTCGTATCTCCGGCAAGTTTATCCAGCTTTGGGGCGAGTAACTTGCATGGCCCACACCATGTTGCGTAAAAATCGACAAGCAGCGCACCAGTGGCTATTTTTTCCTTGAACTCCTAGAAGAAACAGTAAAGTCAAGCAGAAGTTAGAGACATATGGATAGGAGTGGACATTATGGCAGCAGACACCATTGCTTTATTCTTGTGCTAGGGGTATCGTAGCGGGCTTCGAAGTAACGTTAAAGATGGAGGGATACGTGTGGCGGTAGGGACCTTAATAGTAATGAAGCGCATTTGACGATTGGAGAACAGGCGCGAGGCGAATAGAACAGTAGGCTAAGATTAATCCATAGGTGCCTTTTAAACAGTAGGGTTTCTCAATTCTTTTACCACGACGGGCAGCGTTAAACACAGAAACAAACCTCTGCGGAGGTGATCTTCGCCACGGTCATGCTGAAAAGTGTGGAAACACCGCGCAGGCGCACCTTAGGGGTTAAGCCTCACGCGAATTCCAGTAAAACAAACAAAGTTACCCTCGAAGTGGGTTCTTAAAACGCGAATCGCCACTAAATTTTCACATTCCAACTGCTTCTACAAGCTCTGTACAGCTAGTTACGTTAACTGGAGGCGAACCAATGAATACCTAAATGTTCGACAAAAAGGAGAAATGGGCAACGCGGAAAACGATAGGAAAGCGTACGCGTGCTGGCTGAAAATGTGGCCGCTGCGTGTAAAATTTCATCCAGAATTTTACACTTTCCAGATTCATCCTGGAGTATATATGCATCGGAAGTTCTGAAAAACATCTTGACTTTTGTTTTCCATTCTAGGAGCATCCAGATTTTATAATAAGCATGATTTTTCTTAATGACGCGCGGGTGTGCAATCAAAGCAAGTAAAAATAAATTTAGATAGAATTTTAGACGAGGTAGGCAGAATCTGTACAAAACAAAATTCATAGTTTTTGAATTAGTAATCCGTTAATAAAAATGATGAGCGAGCGGAGAAAAGAGACTCCGCTTAAAAATCTAAAAATGATTGGATTAATTTTACAGGAGAAAAAAACACCTCAATAAAAATAATGACAGAAAAAAGCGAGCAGGACTGGCCTGTGCGTGGCCGTATATAACGGATTACAATCGGACATCGTCAGGGCAGAAATAAATGTCAGCCTTCGGGGGCATGTACGCGGGTCGGACGGGACTGGCCTGCATGTGGTATTGTATACGGGATTCAGAACTGACATCGTCAGGGCAGGATTGATACGCCGGATGAGACTTTTTGCATCAAAAAGACCGGACGAGAGGAACGCAGACGCGATCGGTCACAGTAGGCGTCGATCTCAGCCAAGGATTGGGACGGGATACGAGCAAACTACTAGTAGATAGCGAAATTCGGAGTGTTTCGCCGTGAGCGCCGACAGAACGCATGAGGTCGAAATGCGGGAGACGACATCAAGCATCGCGAAGATCGTCGCTATGGGGAGGAGTGACAGCAGTGACTTTAGAAAACAATTCAAAAAAGGGTTTTTTAAATATATAATCGAGGGTTTCCGCTTGATCTACCACTAAATCCCAGGAGGACCCTTCTCGAAGTCAAGAAGCTGGGTGTTCGGGAATGAGATCGTAAAACCTGTCTTTATACATTACGGTGTAAGGTGTTTGCGTTATCTCGACTGGAATGCCAGTAGATAGATAATTTTTTATTAAAGACCCGTCGGGGTCCCATCAAAGCAAGTTAAAATAAATTTACATGCGAGTTTTAGACGGGGTAGGCCGAATCGTTACAAAATGCAATTAATAGTTTCTGAATTAGTAGTCCATTGAGAAACATGATGATTGAGGGGTGAAAAAAACTCCTTACAAAAAGTTAAAAATGATTGGATTAATTTTAGAGGAGGAAAAAAACCCTCAATAAAAATAATCACAGAAAAAAGCGAGCAGGACTGGCCTGTAGGTGGCGGTATATAATAGAATGTTGTCGGTCACCGTCAGGGTAGCAATAAATCTCAGCCTTGAGGGGTACGTAAGCGGGTCAGACAGGAGCATGTGGCATTGTATACATAGGCGATGACACCATTTCTGGTGGAAGATTATTCCAAAGGAAGGCATATTTGGAGGCAAAGAAGAGCGAACGCTTTTATGTAGTGCAATGAGGCGGCGGCGGAATCACCATGGAAGAGTTGCGCGTGGCATAAGACCGATCTATCGGATTGAGAGTGTCAATGAGTGGAAGATTGAAGCTAGAATTAATGCGAAAAAGGAAGCAAAGGTCAGTTTCGAGTCTTCTAACCCACAAAAACTTAATGTTCGCCAGATGACATCTCAAAGTATAAGAAGTACCGTATGCGACTTGAGATAACAGTTTCCGGGTGAAAAACCTCTGAACATTTTCGATCTTATAACGATCACAGGCGTCCATTAAACCAAAAAAAGATAGCAGTATTTAAGAACTGGAAGAACAAACATTTGATAAAGTCTTAGCTTCATTTCCGGAAGGAAAAAATTATGCGATATGAATCCACATATCTGCGCGGCTTTGGCAGAGATTCTATCTGCATGAGGTGATAAACCAAGCTTACTTGTATAAATTAGACCTAGGTCCTATATGGCGAGGCACACTGAGAGTGGGTTACTCTGAAAAATTATGGCACTGGGAAGTTTGACAGGACCAAAAGAAATGAAACTACACTTGGATGATGAAAACTCCATCTGCTATGTCGAACACCATCTGCTTAAGTGTGGTACATCGGCATTAATTTTCTCAACACAAAAGTTTGCGGTGTCCTTTGAGTATGAGTAAAGACAATTGAAGTCATCGGCATAAGTAAAAGTTTGCGAATATCCGAGTTCAGACGGAATATCACTGAAGTAAAAAAGGAAGGGTAGCGAAACCAGAACCGTGCCTTGAAGTACGCCACTCGTGATCGAGTGAGGAGTCGAGTACCTATTACCGACCGAGATAGGCACAATCTGTACAAAGTGCAATACATAGTTTTTGAATTAGAAGTCCGTTAAGAAAAATGATAAGCGAGGGATGAAAAAAAACCCACATCAAAATTTAAAAATGATTGGATTAATTTAACAGGAGAAAAAAAAACCCTCAAAAATAGAAACAGAAAAATGCGGGTAGGATTGGGCTGCATGTGGCGGTATAGAATGGATTACAGTCGGACATCGTTAGGACCGAAGTAAATGTCAGCTGTGTATGGCATTGTATAATGGACTTCATGAAGGGGTAAGTAGGCGGGTCGGTCAGGACTGGCCTGTATGTGGCCTTGAATAAGGCAAATATGTGGCGAAATTGAAAATCAGTCTCGAGGCGATAGGAACCCAGATGCGGTCGGTTACATTCATCCGAGTCCATCCGAGGATGGGACAAGGGAGATGCGACCAGACTACTAGTATATGGCGAATACAGAAGGTTTCGCCAAGAGCGTCGATGGAGCGCACTCTGTGAGGGCATGATGCATGAACTGAAAAATTGGAAAAAATAGCATTCCTGGTGAGGGATCTTAGGAATTGAGACTACTCACGAAGAAAGGAAATGTGAACCGACACGGAAATTTAATGACGCCATATTAAATTCTCCGTGGCCCTTTCTCAGTGTCAGAAAATGTTGTCTGGGAAAGATGAGGAAAAAAAGTTTAATCGAGTCAGTATTCAGATAAAAGCGTAGCCTTCTCTTAAAGGCGTGTAGATTTTCTGAAGATCCTATATTAATTGGAAGGCCATTCCAGAGGAAAGTATATCTGGAAGCGAAAAAGGGAGCGCTTAGAGGTGGAGGACGCTGGAGGAGGTATAATCAAGGACGAGTTGCGAAGATTGTATGGGCGAGTACAAGAGGTGAGTGCTGAAATCCGAGGAAAATTTTAACTATGATTAATGCGAAAGAGGAGACAGAAGCCCGCTTCTAGTCTTCGAACACATAAAAATCTTTGGTTAAGTAGCTGGCATCTATCTGAGTAGGAGATATTGGGATGTTCCTTATCTAAAAGTTTTTTAGAAAAACGTCTTTGGACATTTTCAATTTTTAAACGACTAGCGTCGTTCATCAAACCAAAGAATGGGCAACAATACTCGAGAATGGGAAGTATAAACATACGATAGAGCCTTAATTTAGTTTCAGGAAGATAGAACTTGTAAGAAATAAAGCCACAAATATGGGCAGCTTTGATTGTAATTCTGTCAGCGTGTGGCGAGAGATCAAGCTTACTAGTGTAGCTTAAACCTAAATCCTTGATGGTGGTACATTCAGTCATATGTGTGCCTTGAAAGACCACTGGTTGGGGTAGCCTATCAGGTCCAAAACACATATAGCGACATTTAGACGGAGAGAATTCCATTAGCCATTCTGAGCTCCAAGCTGAGAGAGCAAGCAAGTCAGCATGGATTTGCTGCAGGCAATGAAGACTCGTAGATTTGTTGAAATAATATGCACATTTGAGATCATCGGCATAAATAAATGCTTGAGAATGTTTAACTGTCGCCGAAATATCACTTATGTAAACCAAGAACAAAAGAGGACCTAAAACGATGCCTTGTATGACATCACTTACACTTGGGCTCTCATTGGAAAATGAAGATCCCACCA